CTGATTTTCTTGAGTTGATCTTGTAGCCTGCCACTTTGCTGAAGGTGTTAATCAGCTGTAAGAGTTCCCTGGTAGAGTTCTTTGGGTCATTGATGTAAACTATCATATCATCTGCAAACAGTGAGAGTTTGACCTCTTCCTTCCCATTTTGTATCCCCTTGATCCCCCTTTGTTGTCGTATGGCAATAGCTAGAACTTCAAGTACCATGTTGAAAAGGTATGGAGAGAGTGGACAGCCTTGTTTTCTTCCTGATTTTAGAGGAATTGCGTTGAGTTTCTGTCCATTTAGTTTGATGTTGGCTGTTGGTTTACTATATATAGCTTTTATTATGTTTAAGTATGTCCCTGTTATCCCAGATCTCTCCAAGACCTTTATCATGAAGGGGTGTTGGATTTTGTCAAAGGCTTTTTCAGCATCTAGTGAGATGATCATGTGATTTTTGTTTTTCAGCTTGTTTATATGGTGGATTACGTTGATGGATTTTCGTATGTTGAACCATCCCTGCATCCCTGGGATGAAACCTACTTGATCGTGGTGAATGATTGTTTTGATGTGTTCTTGGATCCGATTTGCCAGTATTTTATTGAGTATTTTTGCATCAATGTTCATGAGGGATATTGGTCTGAAGTTCTCTTTCTTAGTTGTATCTTTGTGTGGCTTGGGGATCAAGGTTATTGAAGCCTCATAGAAAGAGTTTGGCAAAGACCCTCTGCTTCTATTGTGTGGAACACTTTGAGAAGAATTGGTATAAGCTGTTCTTTGAATTTCTGGTAGAATTCTGCACTGAGGCCATTTGGACCTGGACTTTTTCTGGTTGGGAGACTTTTGATGACAGCTTCTATTTCCATAGGTGTTATAGGTCTATTTAAATTGCTTATCTGTTCTTGATTTAGTTTTGGCAAGTGATAGCTATCCAGGAAGTCATCCATTTCCTTTAAATTTTCGAATTTTGTGGAGTACAGGTTATCAAAGTATGACCTAATGATTCTCTGGATTTCCTCAGAGTCTGTTGCTATGCTCCCCTTTTCATTTCTGATTTTGTTGATTTGCGTGTTCACTCTCTGCTGTTTGGTAAGTTTGGACAAAGGTTTGTCTATCTTGTTGATTTTCTCAAAGAACCAACTCTTCGTTGCATTGATTCTTTGTATTGTTTTCCTGGTTTCTACTTTATTGATTTCAGCCCTCAATTTGATTATTTCCTGGTGTCTACTCTTCCTGGGGGAGTTTGCTTCTTTGTGTTCTAGAGCTTTCAGCTGTGATGCTAATTCTCTGGTATAACTGTTCTCCTGTTTCTTCATGTGAGCACTTAGTGCTATGAACTTCCCCCGTAGCACTGCTTTCAAAGTGTCCCATAGGTTTGGGTATGTTGTGTCTTCATTCTCATTGAATTCGAGGAAGTCTTTAATTTCTTTTTTTATTTCCTCTTTGACCCAGGGATGGTGCAGTTGAGCATTATTCAATTTCCATGAGTTTGTAGGTTTTCTGCAATTTGTGTTGTTGTTGAATTCTAATTTTAAAGCATGGTGGTCTGATAAGATGCATGGAGTTATTCCAATTTTTTTGAAGCTGCTGAGGTTTGATATGTTGCCAAGTATGTGGTCGATTTTTGAGAAGGTTCCATGTGGTGGTGAGAAGAAGGTATATTCTTTTTTATGTGGATGAAATGTTCTATAGATATCTGTTAATCCCAGTTGGGTCATTACTTCTATTAGACCCTTTGCTTCTTTGTTGAGTTTCTGTCTGGTATTCCTGTCTAGTGGTGAGAATGGTGTGTTGAAATCTCCCACTATAACTGTGTGGGGCTTTAGATGAGATTTAAGTTCTAATAATGTTTCTTTAACGAATGTGGATGCCTTTGTATTTGGGGCATAGATGTTCAGGATAGACACTTCATCTTGGTGGGTTTCACCTGTGATGAGTATGTAATGACCTCCTTCATCTCTTTTGATTGATTTTATTTTAAAGTCCAGTTTGTTAGATATTAGGATTGCTACCCCTGCTTGTTTCTTGGGTCCATTTGATTGAAAAAAATTTTCCCAACCTTTAACTCTCAGGTAATGTCTGTCTTTGAGGGTGAGGTGTGTTTCTTGTATGCAGCAGAAGGAAGGGTTCTGTCTTCGAATCCATTCTGCTAGTCTGTGTCTTTTTATGGGTGAGTTAAGGCCATTAATATTGAGGGATATTAATGACCATTGATTGCTCATCCTTCTTCGATTTGCAATGGTTGTTGTTGATGGAATTATGTGTGAAATTTCGCCCCTTTGTTCTTTTGGCTGTTGGTAGAGAGGGATTCCCTAATGCCTATGTTTTTCTGGTTGTAGTTAGCTTCCTTGGGTTGGAATTTTCCTTCCAAAATTTTCTGTAGGGCTGGGTTAGTGGACACATATTGCTTGAATCTAGTTTTGTCATGGAATATCTTGTTTTCTCCCTCTATAGTGATTGAGAGCTTTGCTGGATATAGTAGTCTGGGCTGGCATCCATGGTCTCTTAGTGTTGGTAGAATATCTATCCAGGACCTTCTGGCTTTCAGAGTTTCCATGGAGAAATCAGGTGTAATTCTGATAGGTCTGCCTTTATATGTTACTTGACCTTTTTCCTTAGCTGCTCTTAATATTCTTTCTTTATTCTGTATGTTTGGGGTCTTGATTATTATGTGGCGAGGGGATTTTTTTTGTGGTCCAGTCTATTTGGTGTTCTGTAGGCTTCTTGTACCTTCACTGGCATGTCTTAAGGTTGGGAAAGTTTTCTTCTATGATTGTGTTGAATATGCCTTCTGCCCCTTTGAGGTGGATTTCTTCTCCTTCTTCTATACCTATTATTCTTAGGTTTGGTCTTTTCATTGTGTCCCATATTTCCTGGATGTTTTGTGTTAAAGATTTGTTGGATTTAAGGTTTTCTTTGGTTGATAAATCCATTTCTCCTAGTGTATCTTCAACACTTGAGATTCTCTCTTCCATCTCTTCTTTTCTGTTGGTAATGCTTGTATTGGTAGTGCCTGACTGTTTGTCCAGCTTTTCTATTTTCTGCCTTTCTTCAGATTGTGTTTTTTTTAATGTCTCTATTTCAGTTTTCAACCCTTGCAGTGTTTGCATTGCTTCTTGCAATTTTCTGTTTAGCTTTTCGTCCGTTTGTTGCCTTTTATGAATTTTTTGGTTTGTTCTTTCTTCCATTTCTTGCATTTTTTGGTTTGCTTTTTGTTCCATTTCTCGCATTTTGTGCTTTGTTTCTTCTTCCATTTCCTGCCTTTTCTGGTTTGTTTCTTCTTCCATGTTTTTCATTTTTTGCTTTGTTTTTTCTACCATTTCTTGCTTTGTTTCTTCTTCCATTTCCTGCCTTTTTTGGTATGTTTCTTCTTCCAATTCTTGCATTTTTGCTTTGTTTTTTTCTTCCATTTCTTGCATTTTTTGCTTCATTTCTTCTTCCATTTCCTGCGTTTTTTGGTTTGTTTTGTCTTCCAATTCTTGCATTTTTTGGTTTGTTTTTTCTTCCATTTCTTGCATTTTTTGGTTTGTTTTTTCTTCCATTTCTTTGAGGGATTTTCCTATATCCTCTTTTAGGGCCTCTATCATTTTCATGAAAGTGCTTTTAAGGTCGATTTCTTCTGCTTCATTCGCATTGGAATGTTGGGGTCTTGCTGGTGTGGAGTCTCTAGAATCTGGCGGTGTCATATTTGTTTTTCTGTTGCTGAGTGTGTTTTTGTACTGTCTCTTTCCCATCTCTTCTTCTAGTGGGTGCAGAAAGAGCCCCTTACTGGTCTGGGGACCAGAGTTCCCTTTTGGTGGGTGCTAGCAAGTCCAATAATCTGGTGGTTCTTCTATTCTTTGTCCAAATGCTGGTCCCATGGGAGAAGAAGAAGAACAGGAATCTGGGGTGCTTAGCCTCCTACCTGGTCCCCTGGACCCTATGCTGGGTCCTGTTGTACCTGATCCGGAACAGCTACTCCCCTGGTCTCCCTGGCTCCTCTGGTTTCCTGGTCTCGTTGGTGGGAGAGAAGACCTGGAGTCTGGGGTGCTTGGCTCCCGCCGGGATTGGGAGCTCTGTGCAGTTCCCAGGCGATCTGCAGGCACTGGAACACAGGCCGGGAAGCCGGCCTGTTCACCTGATGCTGCCGGAGGAACAGCTGCTTCCCTGGACTCTCAGCCTCCTCTCCCCTTGGTTTTTCAAGACAGGGTTTCTCTGTTTTACAGTCCTGGCTGTCCTGGAACTCACTATGTAGACAAGGGTGATCTCAAACTCAGATCAGCCTGCCTCTGTCTCCTGAGTGATGGGATTACAGGCAGGCAACATCATGACTGGCTATGGCACCTTTTTCACTTTGTGACTTTCTGTGCTGGCTAAGGTTTCTGTTTGCATTTATTAAAGACACATGAAGCTCACCATCAACACTACACTGTATATCTTTGGGTAAAGCCATCGCCCCTGGCCCTGGTGTGTGTGTGTGTGTGTGTGTGTGTGAGAGAGAGAGAGAGAGAGAGAGAGCATGCAGTGTGCTTGTTGAATGTTCAAAGGACTGATGCTATCACTCTCTACCTTATGTCCTGAATCAGCATCTTCCACCAAATCTGGAGCTAGACTGCAGTCCGGAAACCCCAGTGGTCCTCCTGTCTCCGCTTTCCACATCCTGGCATATGTGTGACTTAAGCCATGGAACCATCTCCCATAATCTGTCTTAGTTTTCAAAGGAGAATTTTTATACCTTTGGAAATTGTTGAGATAGAGCCTCATGGCTGAATCCAGCATCCGTGAAAGGTGCTGTGTGTCTGGAGACTGTGGCTACTGTGTGGGAGAAGCTGGGGATGAGCAGGGATGGGCAGAGGGAGGTCAGGGTCAGACCAGGCAGAAGAGCAGCAGACACCCCAGGTCCTGGGGAAGACAGAGGTATTGGAACAAGGCTGTTGGAACCTCTCATCTTGACCTTTGCATAAAACAGCTAGCGCAGCACCCAGGGGTGACTAACGGTATCTGTCCCTAATTTACCTCTCCCCTCTACTCCCTTCAGCACCAAGTCTCTATCACTGTCACCTTGTGTCTGGTGGACGAATGCAGAGAGGGATATCTGTCTCACTGCTTGTCAAGATTGATGTGTCTCCCCAGGAGGTGGCAGAAACATACTCTCTTTTTATACGCTGGGACAGACTCAAGGTTCTGGAGAATAGAGGAACATGTCCGGGTAAGTGTGTAGTGTCTCCCAGTGAAAGCTGCAGCAGGTGGGTGTCAGATGCAAATGCTTCTCATCCTCTCCCACCCCCAGGAAGTATTTTCCTGTCCTTCATTTATTCTTTGTCCCTCACATCATGCATCTCCATCCCCTTCACTTCCCTGTCCCTACTTATCCAGCTGGTGACCTGCATTGTGGAACTCCTGCACCGTTGAGCCTGCAGGTTCGCTCCCTTCACATGTAATGGCGGATTACAGATGGGGTGGATGGGGCAGAGGACCAACAAGCAACCCTTGTTCTAGGCCTCGGTAGTGGCAGGATTGGACAGACTGCCAGCACTCCCTTGTCCTCACCTATAGGGTGAGCTCCCCACACTACATAGCCTGCTGGCAGCTCAGCAGGTTGGAGAATGTCCTTTCCAGGTGCTGCAGTTAGGCTAAACCCCTTCCAGGCAGCTTGGCTGGTATCTGCTTGGCTTGTGTGAGAGTCTTTGCTGCTTGGCTCTGCTTCCTGTGGCAGGGAGCGGCCTAGTGAATCTGTTGAGTTTCAGGGAGTTCTTGAAGATATATTTGTTGTTGACCTCTCTACTTCAGGAGCCTGTCAATACAACAGAGCCGGGAAAGAATGGAGAGGGAGAATGTATCTGTGCACACCTGTGGGTATCTGTGCCCAGTGGGGCAGCTGTGGAAGGAATGCTCACCCCTGGCTATAGAATTCACATCCCAGATCCCCTTCTGCCCCCTTCCCCTCTGTGCTGCCTCAAGTCTGAATGGTCATTGTCTTTTAGAGCTGGCTAGATGTGTGTCACCCAGAATCCTGATGGCTGTTCTCTCTCCTGCAGATTGACGAGGTAGAGCAACTAGTCCTACAGATGGAGGATCAAATCGGTAAGACGGGCACTAGGAGGTTTTCTCTCTGTATAAGAAGAGAGTGCTGATGTATTTCCCTAGGTTTCCTTGTGTGACCACCTGTTACCCTTCTCCTTTGGATATAAGTGCTGTGAGCTCACCTCACAGTAATCAGAGTCACTCTCAGTCCTGGAAACAATTCCATGTGTCCAGTGCTCCATGTCACAGCTGAGCAAACAGACTCTGGGTATTGGAATGTGTGTCCTGAGACAACAGAGCCCTGGAATAGCAGTGATGGGACTAGAACCTAGTGACCTTGTCTCTCCAGTTTAATCACACTGGAGTGCTGCGTGGTATTTGCCCTAGAGAACCTACACTGGGCATCTCCCCCACCTTGGAAGCAGCTCTACCTGTCTGAGAAGCGAGTGGTCCAGGGTCAGGGCTGGAGCTGGACTGGCTGGAGCACAGCCTTTGGGTCCAGCACCCAGTTCTGTGGGGATTCACTAAGCAGTGTCTCCTTGGTCCTCTCTAGGTCGAAGCACGCATTCAGTTGCCAAGCCCATGCACCCTCAGTGAAGATTTTATGCATCTACTTCTCTGCGATTCCACATGTATCCAGTTTCCAGTCTCTCCTGCATGGCCCAGCCCTGAACTTCACATGATCTGCTCCTGAGAGCCTGGCTGTCTGTGTCCTGAGCCTTCTCACTTCCTGGATACAGCTGTCTTTTTTAGCCTTTGATGCTGACCTTACAGATTGTCCTTCTAAAGACCTCTCATCCCTTTGAACCCCTCCCCTGGCCTCCCAGTGCAGCATGCCCCTCGGGTGACTCTGATCTGGAGGCAACTGCGGAGCTGGTATGGATGGGGACTCCATGCCCTGTGGATCTCTGAGCTACCAATGCTGGCTGGAAGTTGACCTGGTGCTGGGCAGAGGACCCTGTGCTCCGTGCTTGAAGGCACAATGGGATGTGCACAGGGAGCATCTGGTCACTTCTCCCACGTGCTCAGGACTTGGCTCCCAGAAGTGATGCTGTCCCTCATGCCTGCCCCAAACTTGTTTTTAACTAATTAAACTTACTGCTTTTAATCAAGTTCTGTGTTGGCCTTTTTTGTCCTTATCTGTGTTCTCATGCAGAAAGTAGAAACTGATCCCAAGATTACAGGAATGGGGGGGGGCAAATGCTATTTCTTAGAATTATGCTTGGCCCAGGCAACTATTCTAGGAGTTTAGAATTCCTATTATCTTTCAGAGGCTGGCTGATTACCTCTGGGTGCCTGGCCTCAGTCGTGACTGTCTCCTAGTTTGTATAACAAAAGACCTAGGCCCTGGGCAAGCCTATGCCCACCCTGAAGGCTATTGAGTACCTGAGGCCTAGGATTGTCTATAGGATTAAAGGAAATGTTTGATATCAGCCTTCATGATGAGAGATGTCTTCTGCCAGTACCCCCACTTATGGAAAGCTATTAATAGGATGCTAAATTAAACCATGGTCTCTAGTATTGACAGAGCTCTACTGAGATGACCAGATGTCTCTTTCTTAGCAGTCTTTGGGTAGGTAGGCTTTCAGTCATCCACACTCCCCCACTCAGGGTCAGACCCTGGGCTGTTGAATTGGTTCTGATCATAGCCCCAAAGACATCAGTCCAGAATAGATGGCCCTTGCACTCTAGGACTGACACAGGGAAGATTCCAGCACAGGAACACCATGTGACCACTTCAGGACATTTCCTCACTGAGGGATGGTTCCTGGTCCATTTCAGCAGCAGGGTACCTGGGGAAGGTCTAACAGGGAGGCTGTGTGGGAGCTGGGTGAAGCTGTGCTGGGCATAGGATAAGAAGCTGTGGCTTAACCTGGAGGGAGGGAGAGTGGTCAGTGACTGACAGAGTCAACACAGGAGCCACACTAATTCACTACAGGCCAGAGGGAGAAAGTGTCCTTGCACATGAAGACACCAGATGTCAAGGGAGCAGCACAGAGGGGACAGAGGCCGGGTACTGTGAACATGTCCTTCCTTCAGCTGATCCACAGGAAAGAAAGGCACTCCCAATGACACAATTCACAATAGAAACTGTCAGCAGATGGAAGCTGTAACTTTACAGAGTGAATCTAGAAAGACCATTATGGGACTGTGGCCTTAGCTCAGTTGGTCACAAGCTGGCTTACCATACACAGTGCTCTAAGTGGATCCCTCAGTTTTGCATGATCAGAGTTCAAACCAGCTGTGTGAGCACATGCTTGAATCCTAGCACTTGAGATGTGGAGGTCAGAGAATCACAAGTTTAAGGTGATCATTGTGTATGTGGTGAGTTCAAAGTTAGCCTGGGATACATGAGACCTTGAGTTTGGGGTGTGTGTGTGGGGTTTCAAGACAGGCTTTCTCTGTATAGTCCTGACTGTTCTGTTCTGTAGGGCATTTTGACCTTGAACTCACATATGTTGGGGTACCCCGAATTGAGGAGGGGTCCCCAAGCTGGATTCATCACCCCAAGAATCAAGAGTCCACTCGCCAATTGATGCAACACGCAAGAGGCTTTAATTAGGCATCTGCAGATGGGCCTCTCGGTCCGAGGTCCAGTTACAATCAGCTTTTAAAGACAAAAACCACAAGCTTTTGGGAGGGGTCCCTATCTTGTGACGGGGGGAAGGGGGTACGTGACTACTGACCAAGGGAAGTAGATGTCTTCCTGACCTACATGTTGTAAATTCCTCAAAGCTTGGTATGAGTTAATCATCTCTCCCTAAGCAAATGGTGGTTATCATCTCCTTGTTTCCCACAAATCCTGTTTGCCCATCTCTGACGCTCTGGTCAGTTCTTCACAGGTGGTCAGCAGCCCTGAATTGGCCTTTTGTGGGTTTACAGCCCTTCTGCAATTAAGGTTACTAAACCATACATTCCATTCTGTGGTTTGGCCAGTTCCTGGGATGGGGTCCTTTGCTCACTTCCCAAGTTCTCTAGTGCAGTGCCCTCCCTGAATAAACTTATATTTTATTTCTATAAATTCGGTAGTCTTTCACATAGATCTACCTACTCCTGCTTCCTGAATGCTGAAATTCAAGATCAGAGTGCCAGTGCAAGGCTGAGAGCTTTTTTTTTTGTTGGTTTTTTAGATTTATTTATTTATTGTGGATTTAGTGTTCTGCCTGCATATATTTCTGCAGGTGAGAAGAGGACACCAGACCTCATTACAGATGGTTGTGATCCATCATGTGGTTGCTGGGAATTGAACTGAGGACCTCTGGAAGATCAGGGAGTGTTCTTAAAGTCTGAGCCATCTCTCCAGCCTGAGAGTTTGTTTTTTTATAAGAAAGTATTTGTAGAAAATATAGACAAGTGTGTTCATGATCATTAGAAGGAAAAGCCCCACACGAGACAAAAGCAGCAGGCTGTGAGACCAGCAGTGGATCTCAAGTTCACAATGACTCTGGGGATTCTCTGAGGACAGAAAACAGAGCAGCAGCTCACACCAGTGGAGAGTGGAGCACAGTGAGGACGAAGGTGGGTGTGAGACCTGGACAAGTTCACCCTGGTTCTGGGCAGGGCTCTTGGGGCATTTAGACAATATGTGGAGAGGTATGGTGGCTTCACCTGCAAGGTGAGGGCCTCTTTGCCTCTTCCTGGAGCAGGCTTTCTCTCGTGGGCATCAAGGGCATTTGGGTCAAACCCTGCATTGTCTTGGGATGTCCTGAGTGAGCACACAGGGTGAATAGCAGCATCCATCCCTGACATCTGTCCCCTGGACCTAAGATGTCTCCAGACACTGCCCCATATCTGGGCTTTGGGAATTGAGATTGCTTCCAGCCCAGAGGTCAGTACAGGGAAGGTGCTCAGAGTCCTAATTGTACCATGCAGGGGTAACCAAGCTCTGAATGCTGATACTGTCCTGTCCTGTGAGATCCTGAGTTGATCTGAGACCCTGGTCCCCAGGAAACTCTCCTCTCCTGGGTAGCCAAAGTGTCAACTTGACTAGGTTCAGAATCCCTTAAATTGCTGTTGAGGCATGCCAAGGTGTGTCTTGAAGTGTTTTCAAAGGAAACTGAAGAGAAGACCCACATGATTGTGGGTGGCACCCTCTCCATTAGCTGCAGGTGTGGGTGGAGTCAAATTAGGGGAAGGAAAAAGCCAGCAGATGCCTAGCATCCCACATCTTCACTTTCTGGTCCTCCATGAGACAATACATTTCCCTTGCTGCATACTCCTACTGCCTGGATGTCCTGTTCAAGTGATAGTGTTACCCAGTCCTGGGGTTTGGTATTACTAAATATTTCTTTGAAACAAACTGGAACACAGATACGGGTGGGGGAGAAGTGCATTCAAGCCTGACTTGGAGAAAATACAGTTGATACTGTCTTTCATAAAGGAACAAATCTAGGTACACGTTAAAGAGAATGGCTTCTGCTACAATAAATACGACCTACTAAAGGCAGTGTTTGGACAGAAGAATTGCATGTCTGCATTAGTTCTCTCTGTGACCAAAATCCTTGGTGGAATTGGCTTAAAAAAGACTAAGAACTTGTTTTGGCTTGTGTGGGGCATGTGAGATCACTTCAGTTCACAGCCTGGTGGGCCAGGGAGTGGAGAAAGAATGCACAGCTGCTCTCTTGTCCCCACTCTTTCATTCAGACTTCTTGTCACAGCACACGCGATGGCATCCCTACATTGGTGTTCCATCCAAAAACCTTATATCCCCTTAAGTACCCCAGAGGTGTGCCTCATTCTTCCAAGCAAGATGAATCCCGTCAAAGAGGCAACTGTCAGAGGATAGAGACAGGCATCTAAGGACCACTTTATTTTTTCATGAAAAATAACAGACCCAGAGACTTACATTGGTGTTCAAGCTTCAAGGTGAACTTGAGAAAAGCAAAGCAGCTGGGCACGAGCTCTCACTCTACCTCAGGCTGAAAGATGACCCTGGCTCCAGTAAACCTCAGACAGCTGCCTCTCCTCAGCCTGGCTGGAGAATCCTGAGACTTCAGTGCCACGCCCGCTGAGCAGCCTGTATCCGAGAATGTGGCGAGATTGATGACACAGAGACTGGTCAGTTGCATTAAGAAATATTTATGCTCCCAAGTGTCGGCTTAAGAGAACTTCCCAAGAAAACGCTTCCCTTCAGAAAAACTTCTGCCATACATACACGCACACATCTCCCACACATCTCTCTTTCTCCTCCTGGCTGGTGGTTAAATCCCTGAAGCCAGAATCGGTGACAGCAGGGGGCAGGAAGAAGGAGCTGGCCATTGGAAAGATCAAAGTCAGGGTGTTTCAGTGAGCCAGCCCTTATCGAGCCCTTATCAGGAACTTATGGCTCCAGTAAACATTTTTTAGGGCACTGGGTTGTTTTCAGTAAAAAACATTGTCTCACAGCTGACTGCTCCCGGGCTGATGGAGGAGTGGGTTTCCTGCCAAGGTCTTTTGTTCCCACACTTCAGTGTCCTTTCACCTCAATGTGACTGGAGAAGGAATCCTCATCCTGACACTGAAGACCCTGCTCCTATCTTTTATACCCTCCAGTGCTGGGGATAAAAGTGTGTGATCCCAGGTACTGATGTCATCTTTGTGTGAGCTGATTCTCTATAGGACTGGACCAGTCTTGTGTAGATCTTGGAGGCCTTGGACTCACTCAGATCCTTCTACCTCTTAAACCTGAGTCCTAGGATTAAAGGTGGATAACATCACCTCCTAGCTCTATGGCTGCTGGGATTCAAGGTGTGTATCACCACTGCCTGAGGCTGGATTTGCTTTCTGAATCCTCAGGTAAGCTTTAATAAATCATAAATAATATACCAGCACATTGTTCCTGATGGTTAGGCTTGAGAGATATTTTGAGCAAAAGTATGGTTTGGTAATTGTACAAAAACCTCTACTACAGAGTGAAGGCCATGTGCTTTATTGTGAGTAAAAGAACCTCCAATACCATTGGACTTACACAGGACCCAGCAAGGTAAATGTTCATAATGATCGAAGGTGTTAACATCCAAACTTTCCTTGTATAGAATCAAAAAGAAAGCCAATGGAAAGTCACATAAAATGCTCTGTGAAGCACATTTTAGAACACTAGTAAGGGCTCACAAACAAGCTTTGAATGGAAGACAGTTATGTCCACACTATTTCCTTGCACTAGGAAGGTCACTGTTAAACCTCAGCATTTTCTTATATCAACTTGAGGTGGAGTATAATAAAGAAAGTAGCCTGCCGATTTAGTGCAATAGCTGAGCTACCAAGTCAAAACTTGAAGGTAATGTGTGGATTTATTTTACAAAGTAATGTATAAATAAAACAAATCAAAAACTAGTTCTACCTACATTATCTGACCTAGAAATGAATGTGAGAAGTGTGTGGTGAGAAAGGGTGGGAAGAGCTGGAGGACAGAGGAGAATTCTGGGACATGATGGAGTTATTCACAGCAGTCAGTGCCTCAGCCAGAGGCTGCTATGTGTCTGTGCACCAAGGCACAGGAGAGCCTGGAACCCATACAGGGATGGGACTCACAAATGAGAGGTAGGAGGACATGAAGTCCAACATGCACCACTCAGGCAGCTCAGGAGAGGGGGACCAAGGGATGAGGGGTCTTTAGAAGGACAACCTGGCTGGTCAGCACAGAGGCACAACCTCTGAGTGCCATTCTCATTCAGACCACATCCATCGTGCTAGAAGCACTCATAGCAGCACAGCATTTTAAAATGCACCATTGAAAGGGCTCAATGAGAAACACCAGAAACAGACAGCACTAAATCACAGAATATTATCAAGACAGCCTGAAACGTAGACAGACATGCGGAGTTTCAGTTCCAACATGGGGGGGTTCTTTATTCTTTTCACATAGACCCAGAGATTCTGATTATGCAAATAAGAATCCCATCAGGCTTTGGGGCTGAGGTAAGGTGGCTAATGTGACAATTCTAAATTTACTTGGATATGCTCAGGGTAGAGGCTAACTTGAATAGTCAGCATACTCCAGAGAAACAGAGCCAATGGGACTTGTGTGTCTACAGGAGGATTTGATATTGGAGTTGGCACACACAATGATAGAGTAAGTCTGAACCTGAGTGGGCCAGCCAGACTCAAGATGGTGGATGGTGAGTGTCCACTGTGAAGGCTGTGACACTGAAGGTTCTCTCTGGCTCAGGGACTGTCCCCAGTTGCTTTACACGGATGTCACAAAAAGACTGACCAAAACACTCTTGGGGAAGGAAAGGGTCTATTGACTCACAGGACACACTCCATTGCTGAGAGAAGCCAGCTTGGAGCTCTGGGCAGGAACCTGGAGGCTGGAACTGAAGCAGAGACCGTGAAGGGGTGATGCATACTGGCTACATATTCATGACCTGGTCGCTATACTTTTGTATGGAACTCATGTAAAGTGCCCTCTGCTTGCCCCACCTGCAGTGAACTGAGCTCTCCCCTCCTCACCAATCCCTTATTAAGAAAATGTACCACAGTCTTCCCTCAGCCCCATCTTATAGAGTCATTTTCTTAATTGAGGCTCTCACCTTTGAGGACTCCGGTCTCTGTCAAGTTGTCATAAAACAAGTATGAAGTGTCTGCATGGGTTTAGGGGTCTCCATGCAGCTAGGGGTCCCAGGTGGTGAAATGCTGGGCTAGCCTGTGCTAAGCTCTGGGTTTGATCTCCAGCCCCACAGAGAACTGGGCATGGAGATTTAATCCCAGCACAAGAGGAGCTGAGGCAGGGGGACCAGGAATTCAAGGTCATCCTCAACTACACATTGGGTCTGAGGACAACCTGGGCTACATGAGACCCTTCTGAGAGAAAAAGAAACGAAGGAAGGATGAGAGGGAGGGGAGGAGAGAGGGAAATGCTGACAGACACAGGTGTTCCCCATGATCTGGGTGGGATGAAAAGAATCTGGTCTGAGGCTCTCAAAAAGGAAAAGGACACACAGAGCCGGTCTTCAGGACACAGGTGCTGCCCTCACAGGGCTGCTTTGTGACTGCCCTGCTGTGGCCTCAGAAAAGTGAGGAGATGGGCTGAGGAGATGGCCCCTTGGGCAGTCACACTCCAGGTCAAGGGCAAGGTTAGCATGAAACCAAGCTGCCCTTGACAGAGTCAGTCACGTTTTACATGATCTTGATCTCAAACACATGAGCTGGCTGTGCTGGATTTCTAGGAGAAGCTTAGCCAGGTGTGTGTTCCTCAGCTAACCCCTAAAGTTTGGTTCTAAACTATAGGGCTCCATACTCTTGTCAACATCTATCTCCCAAAGTATTTACATGACAATTCACAACATAGCAAAATTACAGTTATGAAGTAACTACGAAAATAATTATTTGGTTGGGGATACATCACAATATGAGGAACTTGTATTAAAAGGTCGCAGCATCAGGTAGGCTGGGGGCCACTGTCCTAGATCCAGGGGATTCAACTAGGTTCATGATGGAGACGTGTTGGAGAAGTGGTGATGAAAATGATTCCTGGGCGTTTGTGCTGCTTCCAGGAGAACTCTGCACGGGCTAGGCTGAGCATACAGGCCACCTGGGGAAGTCCAGCAGCTGTTTCTAGGGATTTGGGCTCCTAGCCTAGCCCCAGAAAAGTAGGTTTCTCATTCCTCATTTTCCAGACCCCTGCTGCAACCTGTGGTTAGTTCTCTGTCTGCCCCTGCAGGACTGCATTTCAAGGATTCCAGCAGCTCCTTTGCTCCTCACTATGGCTGCTGCTCCCCTGGGGCAACCCCCAGTCAGGCTTTCTTTGGAAAGGCTTGGTTACTATAGGGATGATAACCTGAGACTCTGGAAGGTTTTAAGCCTGCGATTTACTCCTGACCATCCAACTCATAGCAACGTGAGTTTTGGGGCACCAGGGAGGCTGTATCCTGACCTTGTGGGTAGTCTTGGTGTGCTAGGGTGTGTGTTGGGGTAGATAATCACTCTGAATACTGCTCTGGGCTGTGGGTTTCGACTAAAATGGAACCGGGGAGGCTACACTCCTCTGTGATGCTGCAGGAAGAACATTTCTAGGTATCAAAACGGCTCCCCAGTACCAGGGATGTCAGTTGAGGGCAAAGTCCTGATGTAGGTGTGGCAGATACTTTGTGTCCTCTGCCAGAGGGGTGTTTGGTCTTACACCTGGGACAAATGACTGAGGTGACAGTTAACATATCAACATGGCCTCTGGTCACCATGTTCTCCCAGCATGCCTAATTGCCTACCTGTTTCAGGGAATGGCAGACTTGCTTGCCCTCTATCCTGAACTGTGCAGCCCAAGGCCTGAGCCCCAACAACCAACTTTCCCATCGCAGCCCACCTACTCTGGTCCTTTCCTATATAGCTCAGCCATTTTGTCTATGACAGTTTCTTGGCCCAGGCCACCCCACTTGATCCTCATCCCATCTCCCCCTCTCCTGTCCTCACTTGGCCAGGCTCACAGTCATCTTCACTCCAAAGTCACCCAGATGTCTCCATCTCTGCCTGTGCTCTCTGTTTTATCTACAATAAACCTTCTCCTCCTCCATACCTAGGAGCAGTCATGTCCTTCCTTTTTCATCCTTTTCCCCCTTCATCTGGGGCCAACTGTGTTATGTTATTGAACCTCAGTTTGTCCCAGTTTGGAAACTAACAAGGGGATAATTCATCTGTAGTACCTCCAAAAAAAGTCTTCACATATATATCTATTTTTCCATAAACCTACACCAAATACATTATGGAAATTTTTTAAACCAAACATTTTCAGTTAAAACAATAAAACCCAGAAACGTATTCTGTTAGTGAAGATGTAAATGAGAAAGTTTGTGCAGTCAATAAATTCATTAGAGTCACATGTCTCCCATCATCCTGCTTCTGGGCAGCCTTGAGTTAAAGTAGCTGTTAGATCCACGTGTGCCTAGAGGGGCAGATGAGGCATCTGGACAATTGAGTTAAAAAGGGGATGGGGAGAATCTGATGGCTCCTGTAAAAGAGTCAACCTGAGATCCTGAGGCAAATCTGTTGCTAAGGGACACATTCTCTAGAGTGCCCCATGGAGTAGCACTTAACTGGCTTGTAATCCAGGAGGGAGTGAGGCTTGTGCTCCTCCTGCCACAGCCTCTTGAGTCCTTTGGGATTCCAGGTTGTAGTGACAGGCCCAGCAGTGTTCTTCTCTCTCTTTTCTCCTCATTTCCTTCTTTCTTTATCCTCTTTTTCTAATTCCCTCTCTCTCTTCCTTAGTATACCAAGAAATAGTCTGCATTGTTACATTTACACACACACACACACACACACACACACACACACACACACACACACACTTACAGGACAGGAGCAGGCAGAACTCTAATTTCAAGACCACATTGGCCCAAATAGCCAATTCTAAGCTCACCAGGTCTACACAGAGATTCCTTATCAAACAAGTTACAAATACAAAAGCAAATAAATGAATCTTAAAAACAATAACAACCTGTGAGCCAGAGTTATGATCTTGGCAGCCACATGAAAAGTCACATATGGCCCATAACTTCAGTGCTGTTGGAGACAGAACCTTCCCAGTGAGATCTCAGCAAGGATCAGGAGGTTTTTGCAATCAGAGGCCTCAGAGGGAAGCTGTTCATTTTGCAGGCTCTGAGAACTTGGGAATACTCCCTGGTCCACCTTGGTGCAAAGCACCAGAAACAATGGAGTTTCAAATAAAACTTCATTCACTACAAAAGCAGGTGACACGACAATGTGGGTCCCTGTCCCTTCTTTGCTTCCCCCTTCCCTCCCAGCCTAAAGTCAGAATACCCACAGGGGGATAGACTCTCAAAAATTGTAAGGACAATAACCAGGACAGTGACCTTCCACAGTGTGATAGGTGAAGAGAAATCAGGAATTCAAAGGAAGACAGGAGGACATAGGAGGTAGTCTGTGACATGCTCTCTGCTCTGTGGTCTAACTGGCATTTGGTTTTACTTTATAGTGGCTGATTCCTTTGTTTTTTTTCTTTTTGTTCCCTTGGTTTTTCAAGACAGGGCTTCTCTGTGTTACAGTCCTGGCTGTCCTGGAACTCACTATGTATACAAGGGTGATCTCAAACTCAGATCAGCCTGCCTCTGTCTCCTGAGTGACAGGATTAAAGGCAGGCAACATCATGACTGGCTATGGCACCTTTTTCACTTTGTGACTTTCTGTGCTGGCTAAGGTTTCTGTTTGCAGTTATTGAACGCACTTGAAGCTCATCGTCAATACTGCATTGCACACCCAGGGCCCTGGTGTATGTGTGCCAGCATGTGTTGTGTTGATGAATATTCATGTGGCTGGCTCTGTCACTCTCTACATTATGTCCTGAGACAGCATCTTCTACCAAATGTCGAGCCAGTCTGCCAGCCAGGAAACCCCAGTGGTCCTCCCATCTCAGCTTTCTGCAGCCCTGGTACATGTATGACCGTGACTTTTACATGGGAGTTGGAGATTCACACTTAGGTCTGTGCACCTAGTACACATAATCCATGGGGCCATCTCTGCAGAATGTCTCAGTTTTCAAAGGAGAATTTTTACACCTTTGGAAATTGTTGAGACAGAGCCTCATGGCCAAATCCAGCATCCATGAAAGGTGCTGTGTGTCTGGAGACTGTGGCTACTGTGTGGGAGAAGCTGGGGATGAGCAGGGATGGGCAGAGGGAGGTCAGGGTCGGACCAGGCAGAAGAGCACCAGACATCCCAGGCCCTGGGAAGACAGAGGTATTGGAGACAAGGCTGTGTTTATGGCTATTGGAACCTCTCATCTAGACCTTTAAAGCAAAAAAGCTAGTCCAGCAGCCAGGCATGACTACTGGTATGTGTCCCTAATGTACCTCTCCCCTCTACTCCCTTCAGCCTGGAGCCAGAGTAACTGTCAGGTTGTCGCAAGTAGACGAATGCTGCCAGGAAATCCGTTCCCCTATGTTCTCATGTTTGGCCTGTCTCCCCATGTCATGGATGCATCTTTCTCTGGGATTATACAGCGGGTCAGATGTAAGGTTGTGGAAACTAGTGGAACATGACTGGGTAAGTGTGTGCTGCCTCCCAGTGAAAGCTGCAGCAGGTGGGTGTCAGATGCAAATGCTTCTCATCCTCTCTGACCTCTAGGGAGGTTTTTTCCTCCCCTTCATCCATACTTTGTGTCTTTCACATCACGCATCTCCTTCCCCCTCATTTTCCTGTCCCTTGCAATGTATCTCCTGTCATTCAAACCCCTTCCTCTAAATAAAATAAAATTTAGGATAAAAAAGAAGAGGCAGGATAAGGAAGTATTAGCCTCATCGGGAAACTGTAGAGTGACACAGGGAGTCATACAGTAACACTTTTATCCATATATGTTTACTTGCAAGTGTTCATTGCAGAGACTCATTGTCTGGTTTGAGGCATTTGCTTTCTGCTACACTCTCCATGCTGGGCTCTCATTGGAATTCCTCTTGGTTATCCAGCTGGTGCCCTGTGTAGTGGAAATCCTGCAGCTTTGTGTCTGCAGTTTCTCTACCTTCAAGTGCTCTCGCAGATCACAGATGTGGTAGATGTTGGGGAGGACCAACAGGAAACCCTTGTTCTGGCCTGAGTAGGGGCAGGGTTGCTCAGCATGCCAGGTCTCCCTTGTCCTCTCCCATAGGCTGAGCTCTCCAGCAATGCCCTGGCTAGGTCACCCCTTGCAGAGATGAGCAAGAGACGGAGCATATTGCACTGGTTTTCTTTCCTCAGGGTCAGACCTCCCAAGCCTGCACTCAGGGCCGCTCTTCTGTGCTGCCCAGGTGTGGCAGAGGGGACACTCTCCTGAGAGCTGCAGCTGATGAGGGGCAGGAACAGCTCTCCCAGGGAGATCCCTACCTCTCCATCTACAAATCTTCCTTTAAGGGATCTAACAGGGTCATATTTAGTGGACGATTTGGGGAGGGTTGTGTGACAAAACCTTTCCTTGGGAGACGAAACATAAACATATCCTAACCCCAGGTAGGGAACCAAAAATAGACCAAAATACAGATATTACTAAATTCATCTTGGTGAAGCAATGAGTTTCATTTGAGTCAATTATAGGAATATGGGTGGGGGTGAGGGATCACTTACAGGAGCAGAAATGACTCAAAGACAGCTGCATCACCAAAGGACACCCAGCACTGATGACAGAAGGCTCACAAAGCTGGGACCCTGGAGCACACTGCACAGCCTGCTGGCAGCTCAGCAGGTGGGAGAGTGTCCTTTCCAGGTGCCTCAGATGGGCTAAGCCCTTCCAGGAAGCTTGTCTGGTTTCTGATTGGCTGAATCGCTCCTTTTGTGTGAGAGATTTGCTGCTTGGCTCTGCTTCCTCTGACAGGGAGGGACCTAGTGAATCTGGTCAGTTTTAGGGAGTTCTTGAAGATATTTTTATTGTTGACCTCCCTACTTTAGGAGGCACTAATACAACAGATTGGAATAGGATGATGAGGGAAGGGGTACCCGAGCACACCTGTGGGTATAGTTGCCCAGTGGGGCAGCTTTGGAAGTAATGCTCACCCCTGGCTATAGAATTCACACCCCATATCTCCTTCTGCCCCCTTCCCCTCTGTGCTGCCTCAAGTCTGAATGGTCATTGTCTTAGAGTTGGCTAGATGTGTGTCACCCAGGATCCTGATGGCTGTTCCCTCTTCTGCAGTTTGGAGACATAGAGCAACTGGAACTAGAGATGGGGAACCCAATTGGTAAGACTGGCACCTGAAAGCTTTCTCTCTGTATAGGAAGAGAGTACTGGGGTCTCTCCTTGGGATTTCCTTGTGAGGCCACCTGTCACCCTTCTCCTTTGGACATAAGTGCTGTGAGCTGACCTCACAGTAATCAGAGTCACTCTCAGTCCTGGAAACCATTCCATGTGTCCTGTGTTTCGTGTCAGAGGATAAGCAAACAGACTCTCGTTTTCGGAATGTGTGTCCAGAGACCCCAGAGCCCTAGGATAGCAACGATGGGACTAGAACCTAGTGACCCTGTCTCTCCAGTTTAATCACACTGGAGTGCTGTGTGGTGTTTGCCCTAGAGAATCTACACTGGGCATCTTCCCAACCTTGGAAGCAGCTCTACCTGTCTGAGGAGAGAGTGGTCCAGGGGCAGGGCTGGAGCTGGACTGGCTGGAGCACAGCCTTTGGGTCCAGCACCCAGTTCTGCAGGGATTCACTAAGCAGTGTCTCCTTGCTTGATCCTCTCTAGCTCTAGGCTTGGATTCAGTTCTCTGGCCCATGCACCCTCAGTGAAGATTTTATGCATCTACTTCTCTGCGATTCCACATGTATCCAGTTTCCAGTCTCTCCTGCATGGCCCAGCCCTGAACTTCACATGATCTGCTCCTGTGAGCCTGGCTGTCTGTGTCCTGTGCCTTCTCACTTCCTGGGTACAAGCTGTGACTTTCTTTTGCCTCTGATGCTGACCATACAGATTGTCCTTCTCAAGTCCTCTCATTCCTTTGAACCACTCCCCTGGGCTCGCAGTGCAGCATGCCCCTCGGGCACCTGTGGAGCAGGTATGGATGGGGACTCCATGCCCTGTGGATCTCTGAGTTACCAATGCTGGCTGGAAGTTGACCTGGTGCTGGGCAGAGGGCGCTGTGCTCCGAGCTTGAAGGAACAATGGGATGTGCACAGGGAGCATCTGGTCACTTCTCCCACGTGCTCAGGACTTGGTTCCCAGAAGTGATGCTGACCCTAATGACTGGCCAACACTTGTTTTTAACTAATTAAAGTTACTGCTTTTACTTAAGCTCTGTGCTGGCCTGGTCTGTCCTTATCTGGGTTCTAAATCATAAACTGGAAGTTGACCCCCCAAACATTACAGGAGCACTGTGTGACCTCTTCAGGACATTTCCTCACTGGGGGATAGTTCCTGGTGCATTTCAGTAGCAGGGTACCTGGGGAAGGTCTAACAGGGAGGCTGTGTGGGAGCTGGGTGAAGCTGTGCTGGGCATAGGATAAGAAGCTGTGGCTTAACCTGGAGGGAGGGAGAGTGGTCAGTGACTGACAGAGTCAACACAGGAGCCACACTAATTCACTACAGGTCAGAGGGAGAAAGTGTTCTTGCACAAGAAGACACCCGATGTCAAGGGAGCCACCCAGAGGGGACAGAGGCCGGGTACTGTGAACATATCCTTCCTTCAGCTGATCCACAGGAAAGAAAGGCACTCCCTCTGACACAATTCACAGGAAGAAACTGTCAGCAGATGGAAGCTGTAACATTGCAGAGTGAATGTAGAAAGTCCCTTATAGAGTTGTGTCCTTAACTTAATTGGTCACAAGCTGACTTAGCATACACAATGCTCTAAGTCGGTCCCTCAGTATTGCATGATCAGAGTTCAAACCAGCTGTGTGAGCACATGCTGGAATCCTAGCACTTAAGATGTGGAAGTCAGAGAATCACAAGTTTCAGGTGATCCTTGTGTATGTTGTAAGTTCAAAGTCAGCCTGGGATACATGAGACCTTGAGTTTGGTGTGTGTGTTTGTGTGTGTGTGTCCTTCAAGACATTGTTTCTCTGTATAGGCCTGACTGTTCTGTTCTGGAGAGCACTCTGACTTTGAATTTTCATAGACCTGCCTGCCCCTGCTTCCTGAGTGCTGAGATTCAAATTAGGAGCCCCATCTCCAGCTGAGAGCTTGTTTTTTTAAGACAATATTTGTAGAAAATATAGAGAAATATGTGTATGATATTGTGCAGGGAAACAATTCTAGGCATATGTTAAAGAGAATGGCATCTGCTACAATAAATAAGACCCAGCAAAGACTGTGGTGGGACAGAAGAATTGGATGTCTACGTTAGTTCACTCTGTGACCAAATACCCGGGGGAAACTATTTACCAAAGAGCAAGAACTTTTTTGGCTGGGGTGGAGTCCTGTGAGAAGCACTAGAGTCCATAGCCTGGTGGGCAAGGGAGTGGAGAAAGAATGTATAGGTCTTTTCTTTTTCCCACACCTTTATTCAGACTGTATGTCTCAGCACATGGGATGGCAGACCTAATGGTGCTCACCCCAAATCCTTGTATCCTCCTAAACACCCCAGAAGTGTGCCTATTAACCCAAGTGAGATGAATCCAGTCAAAGAGGAAAACGTTCAGAGGAAACAGACAGGCAACTAAGGACCACATGATTTGTAGCACGAACAATAACAGACCCAGACACTTACATTGGTGTTCAAGCTTCAAGGTGATCTTGAGAAAAGCAGAGCAGCTGGGCACCAGCTCTCACTCTACCTCAGGCTGAAAGATGATCCTGGCTCCAGTAAATCTCAGACAGCTGCCTCTCCTCACCTGACTGGAGAATCCTGAGACTTCAGTGTCCTTCTACCCTCAGTGTGACTGGAGAAGGAATCCTCATCCTGACTACTGAAGACCCTGCTCCTATCTTTCATACCCTCGAGTGCTGGGGTTAAAGATGTGTGATCCCAGGTACTGAGATCATCTTGGTGAGAGCTGTTTCGCTTTAGGACTGGACCAGTCTTGTGTAAATTTGGATGACCTTGGGCTCACACAGATCCTTCTACCTCTTAACCCTGGATTGTAGGGTTAAAGATGGATAGCATCACCTCATAGCTCTATGGCTGCCAGGATTAAAGGTGTGTATCACCACTGCCTGATCTCCATAACTTGAGGCTGGATTTGCTTTCTGAATCCTCAGGCAAGCTTTAATAAATTATGAATAATATATCTGTACCATTGTTCCTGATGACTAGGCTTGAGAGATATTTTGAGCAAAAGTATGGTTTGGTAATTGTACAAAAACCTCTACTACAGAGTGAAGGCCATGTGCTTTATTGTGAGGAAAAGAACCTCCAATACCATTGGACTTACATGGGAACCCAGCAAGGTAAATGTTCATAATAATTGAAGGTGTTAACACCCAAGCTTTCATTGTATAGATTCAAAAAGAAAGCCAATGGAAAATCACTTAAAAAGCTCAGTGAAGCAGATTTTAAGACACTAGTAAGGGCTCACAAACAAGCCTTAAATGGAAGGACAGGCTGTGATGCACACTACTCCCATGAACTCTGCAGTTCTTTTTCATACCTCAGTTCCTTCTTTCATCAAGCAGACTGGATTATAACAAAGAAGCTAGCCCACAGATTTAGTGTAGTAGCTTCAGATACTGGTGTACGTTTATGGTAATATATGGATTTATTTTCAAAAATGATGTAGAAGTACAACAAAAGTAAACAAATCAAAAAACTAGTTCTACCTACATGATTTGACCCAGAAATTAATGTAAGAATTTAGTGTGTGGCCGGGCGGTGGTGGCACACGCCTTTAATCCCAGCACTCGGGAGGCAGAGGCAGGCGGATCTCTGTGAGTTCGAGGCCAGGCTGGACTGACAGCCTCGAAAACAATACAGAGAAACCCTGTCTCGAAAAAAAAAAAAAGAATTGTGTGTGTGTAAAAGGGTGAGAGAATTCTTGTTGGGAAGAGATGGAGAGCAGTGGAAATTTATGTGTCATGAAGGTGTGATTCACAGCAGGCAGTGCTACACCCAGAGGCTGCTATGTGTCTGTGCACCAAGGCACAGGAGAGCCTGGAACCCATACAGGGAAGAGACTCACAAATGAGAGGTAGAAGGACATGGAGTCCAACATGCACCACTCAGGCAGCTCAGGAGAGGGGGACCAAGGGATGAGGGGTCTTTAGAAGGACAACCTGGGTGGTCATCACAGAGGCACAGCCTCTGAGTGCCATTCTCATTCAGACCACATCCATCGTGCTAGAAGCACTCATAGCAGCACAGCATTTTAAAATGCACCATTTAAAGGGCTCAATGAGAAACACCAGAAATAGACAGCACTAAATCACAGAATATTATCAGAGACAGCCTGAAACGTAGACAGACATGCAGAGTGGGGGTTCCAAAATGGGGAGGGGGTTCTTTATTCTTTTCATATAGACCCAAGGATTCTGATTATGCAAATCAGAAACCCATCAGGCTTTGCGTCTGGGGTAAGGTGCTTAACGTGACAATTCTAAATTTACTTGGAAATGCTCAGGGTAGAGGCTAACTTGAATAGTCAGCATACTCCAGAGAAACAGAGCCAATGGGACTTGTGTGCCTGCAGGAGGATTTGAGATTGGAGTTGGCACACACGATAATAGAGCAAGTCCGAACCTGCAGTGGGCCAGCCAGACTCAAGATGGCGGATGGTGAGTGTCCACTGTGAAGGCTGTGCCACTGAAGGTTCTCTCTGGCTCAGGGACTGTCCCCAATTGCATTACACGGTTGTCACAAAAAGACTGACCCAAACACTCTTGAGGAAGGCAAGGGGCTATTGACTCACAGGACACACTCCATTGCTGAGACAAACCAGGGTGGAGCTCTAGGCAGGAACCTGGAGGCTGGAAATGAAGCAGAGGCCGTGGAGGGGTGATGCCTACTGGCTACATCTTCATGACTTGTTCACTATTGTATTGAAGCTAGATAACCAGCCCATGGCTTGCCCCGTGTACAGTGGACTGAGTCTCCCATTGCCATGAATCCCTAGTTAAGAAAATGCACTACAGATTTCTCTCAGCCCAGTCTCCTAGAGTCAGTTTCTTATTGAGCCTCCCTCCTTCATATGACTCTAGGCTCTGTCAAGTTGTCATAAAACAAGCCAGAAATGCCTGCATGGGATTAGGGGTCCCCATGCAACTAGGGGTCTCAGGTGGTAGAATGCTGAGCTAGCCTGTGCTAAGCTCTGGGCATGGAGATGAAATCCCAGCCCAAGAGGAGCTGAGGCAGGGGGACCAGGAATTCAGGGCCATCCTCAACTACAACTGGGTCTGAGGACAACCTGGGCTACATGAGACCCTTCTGAGAGAAAAAGGAAGGAAGGAAGGATGAGAGGGAAGGGAGGAGGGAGGGAGTTGTTGACAGGACACGGGTGTTTCCCATGACCTGGGTGGGATGAAAAGAATCTGGTCTGAGGCTCTAAAAAGGAAAAGGACACACAGAGCCGGTCTTCAGGACACAGGTGCTGTCCTCACAGGGCTGCTTTGTGACTGCCCTGCTGTGGCCTCAGAAAAGTGAGGAGATGGGCTGAGGAGATGGCCCCTTGGGCAGTCACACTCCAGGTCAAGGGCAGGGTTAACCTGAAAGGAAGCTGCCCTTGGCAGAGTCAGTCTCATTTTACATGACCTTGACCACAAACATGTGAGAGGTAAAGGCTTGAAATCCAGAAGAAACTTAGCCCAGGTGTGTCTTCCTCAGATAACCCAAAGCCTCAGCTCTAAATCTGTGATTCTCCATCACCTTGTTAACATGTATCTCCCAAAGCATTTACATGAAAATTCACAAAAGTAGCAAAATTACAGTTATGAAGTAGCTACAAAAATAAATTTACAGTTAGGGATGCACTACAACGTGAGGAACTGTATTAAAAGTTCCCAGCATTAGGTAGACTGAGAGCCAGTGTCCTAGATTCAGGGGGTTCAGCTAGTTTTCTGATGGAAACGAGTTGTAGAGGTGGTGATTAAACAATTCCTGGGAGTCTGGGCAGGGTCCACAGAGAACCCTGAGGAGGGCTAGCCTGAGGGCACCTGGGGAAGGTGGCAGCTGTTTCTAGCGATTTTTGCTCCTGGCCCAGCTGAAGAAGAACTGGGTTTCTCATGCCTTATTGTCCTGCCCCTGCTGCAACCGTGGTTAGTTCTCCCCCTCACCCTGCGGGACTCATTTTAAGGAAACCAACAGCTCATTGGTCTCCTCACTATGGCAGCTACTCCCCTGGGGCTACCCCCAGTCATCCTTAGTC